CAGAAGACATAGATAGACATAGTACTAGACATAGTATCGCCAGTCCGGATGGCAAGAGCACAGCGACCACTCGATTATACTACAGGCCAAGTCCTTGTTCAAGAACTTCCAACCCCAAGGTTTTTTACTTGCCTATATATAAGGCTCCTAATGGGTTCCACGCGTCATTTCAGGATGATTCTGCCTTTTAATCCTTACCAAGTCCCAACCAATCCCACCAAACCCGGACTGCGCATGCGTCGGGCGGCGCCCGAGCGTCGGGCGGACACGGGCGCTATGTCGGCGGGCGAGCCGCTTTGCCGGGTGGACACGGGCAGCTTCCGCAGCAGCGGAAGCGGAAGCAGCCGAAGCAGCGCCAAGCATCAAGCAGCATGGCACACGGACACGTGGGACGGGGACGGCACGTGACTGGGAGGCAGGGTTTGTTAAATGAAAGAGGAGGAGGGGTCTAAAATCACTAGCGATAGATATTGAGACATATTGACTATTATGGAGGATGCATATGTGTTTGTAGCACGGATGGAGTTAATGATCGTTGATATTTTTTGGATGACATATTATGTGTGTGTGGGAGTATATATATATAGTTCATGGTGGTGACCACGGCACTTCCCGGTGTCCATTCTAAGTCGCGGAAGTGGCGCTGTTGTGACAGTTTTGAAGAGGTCAGCAAGATCAGTGAACCAAGCAAGTCCAGCTTGTAAGGGGATCTTGTAAGTACAAGGCTTCTGAAGTCCTTTACTGTTCTCAAGAGCAGTGTTTTGATTTGTTTTGCATTGATGTAGCGGTGTCCAGTCTGTTGACGAGAACCAACTATCTTATTGACTCGACATTCTTTGACCACGGGTGTTTAGCGCATGGTGCCGCATTCTGCTACTACGTATGAAAGAACTCTTGCATAATTTGAGAAGGGAGCAAATGGGAAAGCTTTGCCATTCAGGGGGGGCTTGTGTTGTTCGAGGTGTGCAGCGGGGGCCTTGTTTGGCAGAATGTATCAGAATGTGTTTTTCTCTTCCAGTCAAGGCAGATGTAAGGTGCCGAAGCATCGCATGAGGATTCAGAGCATGGTGAGGGCACCTTTTGGTGCCTTCCGTCTGTTCGACTCGTCCTGACCGACAGGGGCAGGATCCGCAGTGGTTGATCGAAACACTCAGGTCGCTCCAAAGAAACTTGAACAAGTTAGGTTAGAACTAACCAGAGAGAGAGGAGCAAGTGAAGATAATGACTGGCAAGTTTCCTTGTGAAGGTATACTGTACGCTTTATGACGTTTTGATTGGCTAAGAGTTGGACTCAAAACAAGTCTAGATCAAAGTCTGAAGTTAAGAACCAGACTTGACAAAGTCTCCAACTAGAATCACAAAGAACCCTTACGCCATAGCCGGTGGCCGAGGTCAGCTCCTTGACGCTTTGTTGCAATGTGGTCTTGAGCATCACTGGCCCCTTGGACTCGATCATTCCGGCCAAAGACCATCTAGGAGCAAAATCATGCTGGGAATACAGACTTCAGAGAGTGTTTGGACATATTGTATGTCCAACTTGCTCCCAACTAACTCAAATTCCTGCCTTTTCCCCGCTCCTATCTCTTCCTCGCTGATCGGCTTCCCCAAATACATGGAAGTTGTCTCCTTCGAGATCATGGGACAGAACCGCTCAGTGGAAAAGGGTGTCAGATTCTCATCTCGAGCGATGGCGAGCTATGTTCACACCTGTCGCCCACATCCAGACCCGCTACAGTTGAGGAGACCTATAGGGATACACCCAAAGACCCCCTGGTAGGACACATCGAATCGATCGGAATCAATACCTTGGTAGACATGTGCATTTTTGAAGTCTACAACATGCTATCCGGCCGCTTTACTCCTTTGATTTCCTTTGATTTGGCAAGTAGCTTGGTTTGACCCAACCATGTGAGACTCAATAGATAGATGATAGAGGCATCAACAGTAAGACAGAGAGAGATCCGTTTCTTTGGTGGCCCCAATACATAGCGATTCCTTGGTCCTACACGAAGACATATAATCTACTGCACTGTATTACTTGGAGCACACAGGGAGCTTACTTCGGCCCAGCAGTTGAGGCCAGCGTTCTGCTCCACTCATACAGTTCTTTGCCACAGGTCAACACTCCGCCCTAGCATTTACCCTCCCAAGAAAGCAGATCGCTACCCACAAGTTAAGTGGGTCATGATGAGTTCTTCCATGTTCGTGTTGCTCCAATTGTCCTTTTTATATTTAATGCGCCCCAACATTGGGTACACACACAAACTAAGCTCCCTTTGTTCCAACTTTTCCAGCCTCTTTGTCCCAGGTACTGCTGTCTTGGGGATCTCAGCACAGATGAAGACATCTGGATGGATCCTTACGCCATTGGCCCCTTGGTTTGAGGTCGGCCGGAAGGGTCCCCAAGCGGGTGACTTTCGGCTGCGTTGCTGAAGGAACGCCGCGGGGCTGTGTGAAGAGCCATGCTCCTGTCGAAACTAGATGTTCCACCTATGATCAAGATGTCATGAGGGTCGGAGGGAGTGAGCGATAAACAAGAGTATGGTTAAAATCACAAGGTTTCCAACAAATAGAGTCTTTTGGGCCAGGCAGATGGCCGCTTTGACCAGCAATGACACAGGGCACTGGAACGAGCAAATCAACATACAGGTAGTGCATTTTCGTGTTTGCTTGTTTCGATCATCGTGACGGCGGTCTTTGAATTATACAAGTTCTATACACACACACCGAACAACCATTGTTGTTCAAACTCTATCAATGTATATATGCAGGCTGAAGAAAACACATCACTTACCATACCATACATCTATGAATAATAACATCGCTATTAGGTTGGAGGCCATTGCTACTTGGTTGGAGGCCATCACTATTGGTTGGAGGCCATCACTATTAGGTTGGAGGAACCATTGCTACTAGGTTGGATGCCATCACTGTTAGGTTGGAGGCCATCACTATTAGGTTGGAGGCCATTGCTACTAGG